TTGGCAATGACTTCTGGCTGCTATAATCTTCTCACTTAGCCAAACTCTTAGCTTTCAAAGTATAATAAAAGAATTCACTGAAATAATGAAACTTCAATCTATAGATTTAGGGCTAAAATGCGCAAGTAAATGTGCTAAAACAAATTGAGCACCAAAGGAATTGTTGAGTAAGTAGAGTCTTGGGAAGAAGGAAGAGCAACATTAAATAACTCTAGTTGCACTCCTAAACCCTTGCTTTCTGGGGACTCCCATTTCTGCTTGTCTGTGGGGGGATGAGAGGTTGACAGGAACAGATCTGCAGCTCAGTCACAAAAGTATTTTTGAATCATTTGAGAAGTTTCCTGCGAGGACCATTTGGATGCTGGTGGAAGGTATCCGTAAATCTCTACATTTTAGTGGCCAACTATTAAACTTTGGTTTTATAAACTGGAGTGGATTAACTGGATAGGTCTCTGTTGGAAGTGAGGGTTTGGGTTGTGCACAGGGACTTTTGTGTGCAAGCCGTCTCACCTACACTCAAGCTTGTCTGGATAGAACTGAATAGGAACTGACCTTTCTACTCCATCCTTAACCTCTTTCTACTACTGTTAAGTGTTTGGAGCTATTAAACAACAACAACCACCCTGAAGCCACTCAAATGCAGTTACTGTCCTGTCCTGTTCTCTCCCTTCGCTAGAGGTTGTATCATCCTCCTCATTCTAACTCTGTCTGATATTGGAGTTCCTTGTACACGGAAAGCTGGAATTGGCAATTGCTGCCTATCATCCTTTAGGCTTGTGGTTTGGCTTCCTTACATTTCCTTGTTTCTCTCCAGGACTATAATTGAAAAGTTCCTCACTTAAAATTCTTACCTTTGAGAGACTGGAAAACAGGCCTTTACACTGTTGGCCTTCATTCTTTGTGCTTAGTTATAGTTGTAGCCGTTAAAGCTGCAATATTGGATGGATTCAACAGGTTATTTTTCAAGGCAGAAAACTATTTTAAATGCGTGTGGTGTTTTCTGTGTGCAAATTAATGTTAAAAAGAGCAATGCAACTAAACACCCGTTGCCAAATGCACAGATAAAATCTTTACCCCTTCCAGTGATCATATGCCCCAGCTTAGTCTATTCTACCCTATTGTCCAGTTAACAAAATAAATGGGTAGAGAAAGCAACTTCTGCTTGGAACTTTTGGTGTGCATATCCCTGGATTCAACCAACCCATAGAATTTAATCTTCTATTTCACAGTAGTATATACTATTTCATAATCTGCATAGCTGCATTGTGAAACAGAAAATGACTACATTGTGGAAAACTGGTATGCATATGCTGTTATTTTGGCTTTCTGCATGCAACTTTCATATACAAGATCTGTGCAAAACATGAAGGCTAATCTAATGGGAAAGTATCAAAGTATATTTTTGACTCTGTTCCTGGTCTAATAGGCATTCCGTGCTTGTGGCACTGCAACCTCTTCACAGCAATAACGGATTATGCTTTTTAATGGGTGATGATATGTCATCTTCCTAAGTTAGCACAATTATGGGAAAGTAGCATATAAATAAACTACTATTGCTAATAATGATGTTACGCACTCCGCAAGCAGCTTATAGCCCAGTCCTGTGCTGAATGAAGCATGCCTCAATCCGTTGAAATCAACTGGGCTTAAGCGTACCTCCTTCTGCACAAGGTTTGGCATATTTCCTTTGAGACATTTTATCTCTTACATTAGCCTTTGAAAGAGGTGGAAACATTTGGTTGCATTATTGCAGATATGGGCAAATATTTTTTACTCTGTATGTATAGATGGCAGCTGTTTAATTATTTTATTTTAATTTTTTACCACTTGTCACATTTGTTCCTTAACAATCAGTCTTTGTTAAGCCTCCTTTGCCTTTACAGCAGAAACCAGAACTTGCATTAATAGATTTTTTTAAAATAATTGAAGACACCAAACATTATTTTTTTACTTGTTTTACGTATTGCAGTCATTAGACTGCTTAAATTCATGCTGCAATTTCTTCTTTGACTGGCCTCAAACTTTGGGCTACTGCAAGGACCTGAGATGTTGATTAAAATGGTTCAAATAGATTCTACTGTGAATAAAGAAGCCATAAAACATTCAAGATGGGAAATGTGCAAATATTGGTATATTGCAAATTAGTGTGTCCTACACTTACAAAGGTTTTCAAAATAATACAGTGAATTCTGCATGATGCCTTCTACAGTTCTAGTATAATAATTGTTGCTTTGGAGCAAAGTGTTTTTGATGGCTACTGTAAGATTCCTTTATTTAGGGTTTGCCAATGGTTATAATTAGCTTATGGGTGGTCATTTTTTGTATTCTTGGAGCATTTTCTGATTTGGGCTGCAGCCTCCAGATACAACTTCTGGTGGTCATTTTCTCTAATTCAGTTGGTAGCACAGGGCTGGGGAACCAGAGGCACTTCAGATGTTGCTGGACCACAACTCCCATTATCCCTGGCTATTGGCAGTGCTAACTGAGGTTGATGGGAGTTCTAAATCTGTAGGTCTACAGGTTTCCCAACCCCTTCTGTACTAGGTACCATCAGGGTGGATTTGATTTAAATCAAATCGATTTAAATCACAATTTAAATCACTAGTCAGTAAGACTTGATTTAAATCACTAGTCAGTAAGACTTGATTTAAGTCATTTTATTTTTTTTTACAGAAAGACTCATTCTTGCTGGTATAATCTTAATATTTACAACCAGATGAAGGTTTCATTCTTGGAATAATAAATTTTCAGAGTAGTTTTTACAGTTATATCAAAAATTACTGATTTGGTTATATTATTAGAAATACATAGACAGATAATTATGAAATTATTGTGAGGTGTTCTTTATATTAAAAAATACCTCTACTGGGTTCTATAGTTCATTAAAAGGTTTAAATGCATCTGGAGATTTATGGTTTAATGAATTAAAGAGAATCCCATGATTTTTCCAGCCATTCTAGTTTCAAATATATATCTTAACGTTTCCAATGGTGAGCATAAACCAGTCTGGCAATCAGTAGAGCATTCCATACCACATTGGGCTTTTTTATAGATGCAAAACCTGGTATAAAATGAATAAATTATGCACATAGTTCAAGCTATATTACAGGGGTCAGCAAACTTTTTCAGCAGGGGGCCGATCCACTGTCCCTCAGACCTTGTGGGGGGCCGGACTAGATTTTGAAGAAAAAATGAACAAATTACTATGCCCCACAAATAACCCAGAGATGTATTTTAAATAAAAGCATTTATTTAGAAGGTGATTGGGCCAGATCTGGGCCCCGGGTCTTAGTTTGCCTACCCATCCTATATTAGCCTTTTTTGTAAAATGCTTGGGTTCTGGAATATATGCACCATATGTGAAAGAAGTGTACAGTACAGTGCAGATCAATTTGGTTTCAGTACAATATGATAAGTTACTGTTTCCAACATTATAGATCTTATTTAATTTTTTTAAGTGTTTAATGCCCTTGCCCCCCTCCCTCTCCCCCTCTCTCAACATTGAGCTCAGCCTTCCAGTTTCAAAAAAGCAAACACCAAACTTTTGGAGAAATTTCCCTCTGTAGATCCTTTCCCCAATTTTGTTGAGAACATTTCTCATCTGCGGCCTTAATGTGTATTAAAATAGAATATATTTCAGATAAAATCTTTGTGACTTGATACAGAGCACACACTAAATTTTATATCCCATTTCATGGCTTGACCATCATGTGTTTATGATATTCTTTAACTGCTTGCAGTCTGTAAAAAGCCAACATTCCCTTCTTCCTTTAAGTTGTGCAGTTTTCCTGCTCTTCTCTTCCTTTCCATTAATGAAAATGTTAAAAAGCAAACACAAATCCCAGCTACAAATCCTTGCCCCATTATTTCCACTGTAAGGCCAGGACACTAAATTACAAAAACTAATAGAAAGCTCAATAATGATTATATTTGCAAAATGACTTCTGAAAGCAGTATCTGTTATGTTCTGTACAGCATGATAACACTTATTTCTTGTTGTACTTTCTGCTATTGTTTCATACTGTTTTAAATATTCTTCTACACTGGTTTATGGGTGTAACTAATTGCTACATACTGCTGGTTTGATTACAATCACTGTGTTCAATTTTACAATTCTGGTACCAGTACTGGAAGATGAAGGTATTTCTTTCTAGTATTGAGTGGAGAATACAAATAGCGTTGTACTGCCCAAACTTGATTTTACTGTGCGGTTCTGAATATAAATTTTCTACATCTGTTGTGGTAATATTAGAACGTATCACAAAAAAACCTCTATAGAAGTGATTGGAAATTGGAAGACTTAATTTTTTGGTGTCTACACTTTCTCCCCCAACATGCAAATACACACACTACTCATGAACATTATTCTCATAGCACATTGATAACCACAGAATTCACATGTGCTTTCTTGACAATTCATTGCTGCTATGAATCCCTTTCCCAGCTGAACCTGTCAACAGCCCCATAGCATGTCAACAGCCCCATAACTTAGAAACCAAGCTTTTTTAAAACAAAAAACATAATATTCCATAATATCTAAGCAACTGAGCTTATAGCTAACAAGGACCTTTAGCATTCATATTATTATTACTAGGGCCTGTGCCCCTGCTTCCTTTGTTCACTAACACCCACATTTCTGTAGACCTCGCTAAACACCCTACCCCCTCCCGTAGACCTTGCAGAGGTCTGTGGGACAATTTGTGGTTCACTTGTGGTTTGCTAAATAAACCACAGCTTAGGGTTATATGCAAACTTGATCTTGTCTGTCCTCTTTATCTCTCTCCTTTAACCCGTAGGAGACTGGCACCTAGCATGATCTGTTAAAATCTGAATAGACATTATATGGTTAGAAGTCCCCACTGGCCTCTTTACTTCCTTCGTCCAAAATGATTATAACCTACCTAGATTAATCTGTGATAAATTGATAAGAATAAATGCTCTGCCTTGTCAGCTGCACAGTAATAAGAATTATGATATTAATTTGACAAGGTTTGTAGTCAACTAACTTTTACTCAGGAGTAGACCCATTGAAATTAATGGGCCAAAGTTACTCATGGCCATTAATTTCAATAGGTCTACTCCTGAGTAAAAGTTAGTGAAAAAAAGTTAGTAAAAGTTATTTATAATAGACAGAATATTAAGCTCTATATAGGGTTTAACCAGTCACATCAACCATAATCCAGTGACATGGTGTTCTTTATATTAAAATATACCTCTACTGGGTTCTATATTTCATTAAAAAGTTTAAATGCATCTGGAGATTTACGGTTTAACGAATTAAAGAAAATCCCATAATTTTTCCAGCCATTCTAGTTTCAAATATATATCTTAACATTTCCAATGGTGAGCATAAACCAGTCTGGCAATTAGTAGAGTATTCCATACCACATTAATTTCCATGTTTCTACTCTGAGCAAAAGTTAGCACAAATATTATCTGCTCTGTTAATTGGAATCAGCATTTTAAAGGACAGTTGTTTCCACTCAACATTAGTTTCTCAGCCATCCTGGAAATGTTTATTTGGAGGGCTGGGTATAAATATATTGACTTACTATATAACAAGTATTTCTGCCTTCACACATCAACACTATTTCTATCACTGCTGTATCTTCTATTCATGCATTATGGTACAGTAAGGAAGATGGGACTAAAATTGAGCCATGAAGGGCCAGCCACTAACCGTAGATGGATTTCCTGCCCTTTCGACTTGCAGCTTTTAACTCATCTCTCTGCCTGTAATGGATGAAATTGCAGTTTGGTTTGGTTTGGTTTAGTTTGGTTTTCTTAGTCATGTACCTCTTAAAAAATCAATTTCCCTCTTCCCTCATTTAGAATGCTGTTGTGTTCTTTTTAAATGATAAAAAGCAACTCGAAATTGTGTTACAGCAATCATTTAAATAAAAAATGTATGAGAAAGCAAGAAAAAACAATATTGCCTTGCAAGTTAATTTATTAGTATGCATGTTTAAGCTGAGGTAGCTGAATTGGAAGACTTCTAGTTTAAATATGAATTACTTCTGTTAAAACATTTTCACAAATCCGGGGCATTTGTCTTTATTTAACCTTTTCACAGTCTCTGCCTTTCTTTAAAGTACACTTAGTCCAATTTCTTCTATTACTCAAGGAGGTATTTAATACATGACTTAGTGTCATTTGCATTATACAAGAAGATTAACTTTACAAGCTGCGCTATTAATCTGAGTAGCTCTACATATTGACCTATGAAAGAGCATAATTGTTAGCTTAATTAAGTTAATTAATTGTCACACTCTGATGAACTTAGTATTGAGAGGAAATTAAAGGCAAATAGAAATTGGCATTCATTGGTTAGAAATCATATTTCATGGAATGTTATAGTGCATTCTATTTAGATGACACAAACATCTATTGTATAGTTAAAGCTATGCAGGCAATTAAGAATGTTAAATGCTAATAATTTTGGAGTATTCTTTCTGATTGATAATCTGTCAAGTTCTCCTGGATCAGATAAAGATATGCCTTGGAAAATTTATACTAGAATTGTCTTATTTCTCATGTGTGGTCTGATAATGAGAGAACTTGGAATGAAAACACAACCATTCTTGTTTTCCTTACTGTCCCACAAGAATTTAAGTGAGCCCTTCAGCACACAATGAATGACTTAACTGGTGAGATATATATATATATATATATATATATATATATATATATATATATGAGAGAAAGGCTCATACCCATCCATAGCCTAGGAGTATTCGTCTACATTTACTTTTCTGTGGGCTGCTTGTAAAGTTACTGTTATTGTTGCTGCTAAAAAACCCCGCAAACCATCTGGAGACATTGTGGGGTTTAAAAAATTATGCATGGGGAAAAGAATGGATAGTGTTACTCTCTCATAATACTAAAATTCAGGATTATGTAATGAAACTAACAAGCAGAAGTTTAAGAGCCTCTCCCACCCCTGAAAGATCATTATTGTCAGGAAGCTTGTAATCAAATTACGAAATTCATTCCCACGAGAAGTGATGATGGCCACTGGGTTAGATGTCTTGAAAAAAGGGGATTAGACAATTCATGGAGGACAGGTCTATACATGGCTGCTACTGAAGATGGCTGCATCAAACCTTCAGGATCAATAGAATTTTGTCTCTGAACAGCAATTACTGGGGGCAACAACGGGAGAGTTATCTCGTGCTCTGCATTTGGGCTTCCAGGAAGCACCTGCTTGGCCACTGTGGGTAACAAGATTTGGTTCTTGATACGAAATGTAAACATGATGTAACTCCTGGTGCTGAAAAGGACCAAAAAAACCCTCCCCTTAGTTGGTTCCCCTCTAGCAAGTCAGGGGAATCAGCATCCAGAGATCAATTTATGCAGTCCAGTATGCCATACAGAAAGATCTTTGCACAGTAGATAAATTTGGTTGGTACAAGTAAGTGAGCCAAGAAACATGCCACAAACCAAACAGGAAGTCAAAAAGTCCTTCCACTGGCCACACCTGAGGAAAGATGAATGAAAATCACAAGAGTTGTTTTAAAAATATTTTATTGAAATTTTTCAGTGGACAAACAAGGGAAAGAAATGAAATCCAAAAAAGCAAAAAGAAGAAGTTGCTTGAAAATGTATTACAATACAATATGTAGGTATGTAAGTAGGTCTTCCACATCACCTTCTAACCTGTCCTTTACCTGGAGTTGCCAGGGATTGAGTTTAAGAGCTTATTCATGTAAAACATGACACTCTCCCACTGAGCTATGATTGTACCATAACAGTTCCAAGAAAACTATTCCAGAGCATTCTTGATAATAAATAAGTTCATAATAAATAAGTTTGCTAACGTCCAGTAATGTTTAGACGTTAGTTCTGGTACACAGAGTGATATCTTTCTTCTCTGTAATGGCATTGTGTCCTATGTCACTTGTTCAACATGTGCATTAAATAACTCAATTCCTGTGCTTTTTAGAGTTTCATTATGCTAATACTATCATTCTAGTATTATGAAATTATTGCTGTTTTGTTCAGTAATCTTTGGTATCTTCCAATTAAAAATGGCCAAATCTGTTATGCCCTTTGTTATTCTGACAATGGCATAGGTAACAATTACTCATCATCCCATAATGAATCATTTTTATCAGAGTCTTGTGTCTCTTCTATATATATAGAATAAATATTTATGTTTTCTCATTTTTCTGAAGTAGAAGATACAGACAAAATAGGTTTGAAGTGTCAGCTATAATTCATTGCTCTCAAGGAACGGTCTTATTCTGATACTGCATGGAAAGAAAAAAAACTATCTAAATCATTTCACTGGCAAAGCTTATAACCAAGATAGCATCAGCATTTTCCTCCTTGAAAATATATCTGCCATAAATTAAATGAAATCTTCAGTATTAAAATGTCTGTGACAAGTTTAACCCCACCATTGCCATATATGTGTTTAGTAGCAAGGAATTTATGTATAGCTTTAAAAGAAAGGACAAATGAAAGTTAAAATGGATCTGTAGTGGGATTTTCAGTTGCTCTGTTAAAATAATACACCGAATCCTGCTAGAAATTGAATAAATAAAGTGTTAATCCCTTTTCCAGGCAGGTTGAAATTATAAGGTCTATGTGAGTACAGTTATGTGGGCACCAACATCCCTAGACTTGGTGTATCTTTCATTTTTTGTTGGGTTTTTTTAAATGAAATGTCAGTGCTCGGGTTTAATTAGAAACTATGGCATAGCTGTCAAGTGTCCCTTATTTGAAGGGACAGTCCCTTATTCCAGCGCCATGTCCCGCTGCTGTCCCTTATTGATAGATGTCCCTTAAATGTCCCTTAAATGATGCCCCTTCAATTTCAAAGGAAGCAGCTCCTCTCCCTCCCTCCCTGCCGGCCAGGGCGGAGGGAGGCTCCAACTGTGTTGCTTGGCTGCGTTGCTCACCCAAGAAGAAGTCTAAGAACGACTGGGGGGTAGAGCTTGCATGCCTTGTGTGTGGCTAGTTAATGCAAGCTGAGGGGGGTTTTGAATGCTGGACGCCATTTTGTTGCACGTGCTGCTGCAAACTTTGCAGTGCAAAGCCAGGCCGGGGAGCCATCTTAAGTTGAGGCTGCATAGGCCTGGTGCATGTGGTGCATGTGATTCAGATTCTATTCAGTTGAACCTCTGGTTACAAAGTTGGTTGGACAGTGTTCTCGAAGCTACCAGCATGAGTTTGACCAGACTGCAGGAGGACAGGAAGACTGGAGTGCCTGGAACAGGTGAGGCTGCAGGTCCCTTATTTTGGCTGCTGGTCCCTTATTTTCAAGGCTGCTGGTCCCTTATTTTCAAATCTGTAAGTTGACAGCTATGAACTATGGCGACATCCAATATTATCAGCTCATTTGTAGAAAAGAGATCTATGCATAGGACAAGACTTCCCACTTCCTCTCCTGTCCCCTGCAACCTTCGATGCCCCACAAGGTTGCAGATTTAGAGGATCAGAGGGGACTAAAGGAAGGAGTTGAAGGTAAAGTCCTGCCATGCATGTGGAAGTCCACTCCCGTCTCCATGGGTATCACCCTGAGTCGTACCTCTTCAATGGTGAGAGAAAGTTATGGCACGCTGCAGAGATGCAGACAGACTGCCCTCTTCACTTAACCAGCAGCTCTAACCAAGACATTTTATGGGAGGATTAGACTTCTGGGCACAAAATGGTGGGCTCTGGTTGCAATTATGCTTTAAACTAAAGCTACTTCTGTTGCGGTTCTTGCAGGCTGCTTTATCATTACTGTTTTATTTTACCTTACCTGGATCATGTTAGGGACGCGGGTGGCTCTGTGGGTTAAACCATAGAGCCTAGGACTTGCCAATCAGAAGGTCAGCGGTTCAAATCCCCGCGACGGGGTGAGCTCCCGTTGCTCGGTCCCTGCTCCTGCCAACCTAGCAGTTCGAAAGCACGTCAAGTGCAAGTAGATAAATAGGTACCGCTCCGGTGGGTAGGTAAATGGTGTTTCCGTGCGCTGCTGTGGTGTGCCAGAAGCGGCTTAGTCATGCTGGCCACATGACCCGGAAGCTGTACGCCGGCTCCCTTGGCCAATAAAGCGAGATGAGCGCCGCAGCCCCACAGTCGGCCACGACTGGACCTAATGGTCAGAG